AGAGTTGTATAGGGCTTCATGAGGTGTGCGTTTTTGGAGAGTGGTGGTGGGGAGAAGGTTGAAGAGGTGAGTGGCCATATGGAGGGCTTCAACCCAAAATTGAGGGGGGAGATTTGCTTGGAACAGGAGGGTGCGGACCGTGTTATTTAAAGTGCGTATAGTGCGTTCTGCGCGCCCATTTTGTTGACTTGTGTAGGGGCAAGAAAATCGAAAAAGAATACCCAAGGACTCAAAGAAGGTGGCTAGTGGGTTGTTTCTGTATTCTGTTCCATTATCACATTGTACAGCTTTAATGGTGGTTTGAAATTGATTTTTGACCATGGCATTAAATTTTACTAGATGAGAATAAGCATCAGATTTATGACGTAATGGAAAAATCCATAGATAGTGCGAATAATCATCAAGTAAAAGCATGTAAAATTTAAAACCAGTGATACTAGGAACTGGCGATTGCCATAAGTCTGTATGCAGTAATTGAAATGGAAAAAGTGATACACGACTTGACGACTGAAAGGGAAGGCTACACGACTTGCCATATTTAACACTACATATGGAGCCCTGTTTGTAAAAATGACGAATCCTACCCTCTAATTAACCCTCCCCCTAAATCGTACCCCCCACTGGCCCCACCCCAGTCCCAGCAGTGGCGGATCCAGGGTTTTTTTTCACCGGGGGCACACAGTTGGTCAGCACAAATATATAATAAGCATAAATTTAAAACCAAGATTTGCAAAAACTTCTCCATTTTCCTATATATTTATACAATTATACATATATAAAAATATAATATGCATAAGTCATTACAAAATTTTAGTCTTTTTAAACCATAACTACATAAAAAATACACTATTTTAGTCTTGTTAAATGCAGTTTCACAAAATAATCTCTTTAAAAAATAACAAAATAGTCCTAACTCCTAAAATTTTACTTTTTTAAAAATAAGTTTATACAATCTGCTTTTTCCCCTCATTTCCTCCTATTGTTCTATAATCTAATTCATCATTAAATTCAATTTCAAACAATATTTATAATTACACATAATTACATATTTACATAACCTAATTTTGGATCAAGAGAGCAAAAAATTCAATCCAAAAAATAAAAAAAGAATTACTTGATAAGATCCTATACTTCTATAATCTAATTCACCATTAAATTCAATTCCAAACCATATTTATAATCGCACATAACCTAATTTTTTGACTAAGATGGCAAAAAAAAATCAATCCAAAAAATAAAAAAAATTTGCGTGGAGGCGGAGGATTGATGAAGTAGGAAGATTGAAGAATTACTTGATAAGATGATGATTGATGAAGTATCAAGATTGAAGATGGAAGTTGGAATCACAGGAGGTAGAAGTGTAGAACCTTAGAAGCAGAAGCAGCAGAACTCCAGGAGTTAGAATCGCAGGAAGAAACGCAAGTGGAGCAAACTTGCGTAAGGGAGGTTTTCTTTACATCAATTTTGATTTTGGACTTTATTTGTCAAATTTGGATTGAGCTTTTATTATTTTTAAAATTGTAGGACTTGGGCTTGAGTGTGAGGTGGGGGCAATAGTAAAATTTTAGAGTTTTAGTGGGGGCAACCCTTATATAACTTTATAAAAAATAAAAATTTTTATTTAAAATTTAGATTTCATTGTCCCCCTTCCCGCCTCCCTCCCTACCTGGCAGTATACTTGCATTGTCCTCTAAAAAATAATAAAATATACTACCTCCGTCCCGTGAAACTGTTAGATAACTATGGAAATAGTTCTAGTTATAGAAGGATTATTATTATAGTTAATTACCATACTTGGAGAATCCTAATTGATGTAGGAATCTCCATCTATATAAACTACCTTGTACACAATTATTTCCTTGAATTGAAATCATAATTCAATATGGTATCAGAGCCTATTGATCCGTCTCTTCCTTCTCGATAAAAAAAAAAAAATCGGCCCAGCCGATCGGCCACCGCCGCCGATCTCCGCCGATCTTCCCCACGCCGCCGATCTCCATCGATCGGCCATGGCTGCTCAAACTTCTGATCCCATGGATCGACTGCCTACGGGCTTGAAATTATTTGTCCGGAATCTTCAATCTCTAACTCCGGTCAAACTAGATGATACAAATTATCCCTCTTGGTCTGCTACGGTTCGCGCAAACCTCGTCGCTCATCGTCTCCTCGAATATGTTGATGGTTCAGAAGTGCCTCCTTCACCCCTTATTTTGGACGAGAAAGCTGCTGCCCCTGGCAAGGATGCACCGCCAGTTATGAAACCCAATCCTGCTTATGACTCATGGGTTCTTGTTGATGCTCAAGTCAGGGCCTGTCTTATCGCTATTGTTTCTCCAACTGTTCAGACTCATATTCATGCTCTTCCATCCTCTGCTGCAATTTGGAATCACCTCGAACAACGGTACAATTCTCTTTCACGTACTCATATTTTTCAATTGAAGGAGCGTCTACATAGCATTCAAAAGGGCACTGATTCCATGCAAACATACCTGGACACTGTTCTCACTATTGTCTCATCTCTGAAATTGGCTCATGAGGACATCTCTGAACAAGATATTATCCTGTGTGTGCTTCGAGGCCTCCCTACGGATTATGCCTCGCTCAAACAAAATATTCGTACCAATATTGCAACCGTCACTTTCAATCAAGTATCTGCGTGGTTGCTCTCGGAAGAATTAAATCTCACTTTTGAGAAGAAACTGCACCTTGGTGACTCTGGTTCTCCC